ATTTATTGATACTCTCAGTTGTCTGGAACTCTTGCAATCCGCCTCAGTTCCACACCACTGCACGAACTTCTGGCACATTAGAAAAACCTGGATCTAAGAGGAACTCTATCTAGGCATTTCTCATAAAGAATTTTAGATCAATACATGATTAGCTAGATTTTCTCATGAGTATGCAAAAAAAATCCACTAGTTACCAATTTTCCAAGTTTAACTGCTGGGTATCCTGAATCCACAGCTGGATTCAGAGAGAGATTCTTGAGCTCCAGGTATGAATCTCACTTATTTTTGCTCTGTCAGTAATGCAGGGTCTCATTCCTTCTCTCAGCATCACACACAAAGTTTCGGCCTGCTGAGGCTAGTCCCTAATATTCTTGTGTCAACACAAGAAAGGGCCTTAATACTCATAATAATCTTTTCTTGTCCTTAAAGTAGGATGATTGTAGAAAAATTGTAGATATCAGAACTCTATGACAATCGATTTCTGTGGTCTTGGGATGGGTGTTAGTAAGAAGAAGGACATAAAACTCAACCATCAGTGCAGAAATTGAAGAAGAAGAAATTTGAGCTGGGATACAGTGCTTATAGTTGTCTGTTGAAATTCATGTTTTCCAATTTGGGGCTAAAAGGACTCCTAAAAACTACCAAATTCTATCTCATTATTTCACTGGGGAAATTATATATGTAATATCATGCTGCACAAAGAGGAAGGTGTGATACCACTCCTAGAGATCCATCTTGGGTTACAGGTCAGGTAGCACTTCTCATGTTTCTCTATCTCCTGCACCACTGGGAAGTCCCAGTGGGTGGATGACTATATATATATATATCAACAAATAATCAACAAATATATGTATGTACATATATACATATATACACACATATATGTGTATATATATGTATACATATATGTATGTATGTATACATATATGTATATATGTATGTATATATGTGTATTTATGTATATATACATAAATATATTTCATAAGGTGGCTTATCAGGGGCTGTTTTATCAAGCAATGAAAATTGTGGTACAAGAGACGAACTCTTGATGACTTTTTTTTTTTCACTTGATTCTTACAAAATTGAAAGCTCCTTGTGAAATTTCTCTGTTTTATCTGAAAAGACCACATAGTGACTCTTGATCATTCCCCTTCCTTTTAGTTAATTGACCTTATATGCAACATATTATTTATTTAGAAAGAAAAAAATATATAGCTCATAGTTCCAAGCAGAATTTAGTCATTTATTTCCTAAAGAGCACCTATAACTTCCCATGACTATTCTTTATTTTACATATTATTCTCAAATTTCCTATTTCAAACTTTTAAAATCTGTAAATAAATTTATATTATCAAAAAGCCCCAAAGTGAGAAAGGGGCAATGGGCAGCCTGGGCCCTCCCAGTCAGAGCAGAAGGAAGAGGGTTGAAGCTGCCCACGTTCATATCTCCACTGTATAAATGTCCCCAAGAGCTCCCTCCCCACCCCAGGTGAGTGTTCCCACTGCTTGCTGTCCTGCAGTTTGTCATGGGGCACAGCGGGTGGGCTCCCTTACTGCTGGATCCCCAGGCCCTCTGGCCCTTGAAAGGATGGTGGTTCTCCAGAGTTTCTGATTTATGCCTGTCTTTTCAACACCACAAGTTCAGTGTGAGTGTACCTAGGAATGGGCAGATGAGGACAGGAGCAATGAGCACCTGGATAAAGTAGGGAGAGATTCTTCTCCAAGCCAACCCTATTGTCCTCCATCACCCAGCCAGGGAACCTATGCTGAAGTCAGGATGTGCCCCCTGCTGGTTAATACCAGGCACCAGGGATATTGGACAGGAAGGCAGCTTCACACCATAGAGTCCCAGAGCCAGGGCTTGGTTCCTGTGCTCAGACATTGCAGAGAAGACAAACAGACGTTTGCAGCAAAGGTGCCACCCTCCAGTGCCTCCTATTTTCACTGTCAGGCAGGGGGGTCAACCATATGATGCCCTCGCGGATCACAAGCATCACCCAGGACACTCCTGTGGTCCCTGAGTTTTGTGCTACACAAAGGTAGGATACCACTCTTAGAGATCCATCCTGGGTCATAGGTCAGGTACCACTTCTCATGTTTCTCTATCTCCTGAACCACTGGGAAGTCCCAGTAGGTGGATGACCAGAGTTTTTCTTCACTACTATGTAGAATTTGAGGCTCTTGATTGGCTCCTCCTTTTTGGGCAAGTGGCTCCTGGCCACTGCATAGTGCCGCAAGCAACTATTATTAAAGATGAGTTAATCATTGTGAGAGAGAGAAAAAGGGAGAGAAAGAGAGAGAGAGAGAGAGAGGGAAACAAAGTAGATTGTTTTTTTGTTTCTGCTTGCTAGTAAGTGACTTTATGCATAGCACAATGTGTCTGGAACTTGCTTTCACTATTATCTGGTAATAAGATTTTGAAGTAGTTTATCTTCACCTACATATAACTCTCAATGTCTATGAATATTATTACCACAACTAAAAATATTAATGTATTTGTTGTGCATGCCTCCATTGAAAGTGTTCACTAATTTAATGGGAATGATGAAGTGGTGGATGAATGATTAAAATAAAGGACTTCGTCCAGCTGTTAAGAATGCTGCATGAAGGCTAGCGTCAGTTGTCAGCCCTCCAAGGGGATGGCCCTGGCCAAAGAAAACTACCTGGCACAAGGTCACACTTATTTTCCAGGAAAGAAAATATCCAATAATTATGCAATGCAAAGGTATAAAGGTCAGTCCCTTTACTCCACATCAGAGTACTGGGTTACTCAGGTTTCTGTTATAGCCAGATAAGTTATTACATGATCAAAAGAAGGTGGTATCTAAATCAATATACTCTTTTGTCATCATCCTGCATGTTAAAAAAGAGTAAATTAATATGCTATAAAAATAATATTGGGAAATCTTTCCTAAAGAACATATAATGAAGCTAGTGATTCACTTGCAACTCATATAAAACTGACCTCTGGCCCCTAGTGATTCATACCCTTTCACACAAAACACACTTAAACATTCCCAAGATCCCTAAAAGTCTCATCCCATGATAGCATCAGCTCAAAGTCCAGAATATCTTCACCTAAATCAGATCTAGATGCAGATGAGTCTCCTCAGGTGCAATTCCTGAAGCACAGATTCCCAAGTACAATTCTTCTCAATTTATAGACATGTGAAAGAAAAGACAAAAGATACCTTCCTATACACACTCAACATACAATGGTAAGATAGGCATATTATAGCATTATAGTTGTTCCTGTTCAGAAGGTGGGGAAATGGGTGGTGCCAAGGACTTTCTGGTCCAAAGCAATAATGAAATCCAGCTGGGCAGATATTGAAAGTTGCTTGATTAGGTCTCAAGTCCTGGGGGAATAATTTACTGCAGATTTTGGCTCATCTTTTGGTTCTGCCCTCTGGGTTACTCTTACTTTTTTATAAAAAGTAACAAGGGTTTGCAGCTAAGTAATATTTTTTGGGCTGCTCCCTACCTGTACAAATCTGGGCTCCAAATCCTCTCCTCATTCTGTAATCTCTCTGTCCCCCTCAATCCAAGTAGCCCATTTTCAGTTACCAAAATCTGTATTAGTTATCAATTGATATGTAACTAGGTACCCAAAATTAGATGCTTAAGGCAACAAACATTTATATATCACAGATTCTGCAAGAACCTGGGCACAGATTAGTTGGGTGACTCTGGCTCAAACCCCTTTATGAGTTTACAATCAAGCTGCTGGCCAAAGCTGTGGTCTTATCAACAAGTTGTACTGGTTGGGAGAGACACAATTCATCTTTGCTTTCATGGTTGATGGAAAGCTTCATTCTCTCATTACAGGGCAACCCCATTATATGGCAAGCTGTCTTGTCCCAGGGATAGTGATCCAAAAGACAGAAGAAAAAATGTCCAAGATAGCAGCCATAGGCTTTGATAACTTAATACCTGATGTGACATTCTATTACTTCTGCCATATTTCATTCTTTACTATCATGTAATTTTTTCACTGAGGTCCCAAAATTATGTAGCTAGCCCTGTTTTCCAGCCATATGTACCAGACATGAATAAGATTGAATCCTCTAAACTTCTTGTGAATGCTCTGTTTCATCAGCAAAGAATACCCCATCTCCATTATTCTCATTCCTTTCTAGGAGAATGAAATCAGGTAAGTGTAATTTTATTTCTAAGGAAAAGGAAAAGTGTTATCTTAATTTCTTTTCAAACTGATTGTAGCAATTCAACTTCTCATCCTTTATCTCTTTTACTCTACTAATGAGTTGCAATTTTCAAGTTTCCATTCTTGAATTCTGCATGTGGTTTAAAAAATATAAATTTATGGTATACAAAGAAAATTATTTTAGATTCTACCCTAAACCATTGGGAAGACGTTACTTCACTTTAGTCAAAATAAAGGAAAGTAAAAAATTTCAAATGTGAAAATAAGTTCCAGTGTGAAGAAATTATGATTCAGTATAACTTTGTATAAATATTGGAAAGTAAAGCTGAGGATTGATGAAACCAAGTGTGCAGTTGGAAACAGTACTAAAGAGACACCTCTCTGAATCCTGTATTCAACCACAAGTGAAGTAATTAGAATAGGGTGCTGAATGTGGAACACAGAAAGAGGCAATGGTTGCTGATGTCAGAAATATTGCTATGGTATCTAATAGCAGCAGTTTACTTAGCATCAGAGTAGCAGAAGATGTAATGTGAATCCCGCAGAATAATAAAAAGTGTGGGTGCAGAAAAGCAAAGGAAGGGAAAGATGATGACAGTTGCCCAGGTGTTCAAGTTTTAGTTATAATCCTTTTAAGAGTAAGCAAAGCTATAAAAATAACACATGTACAGCTCATGCATGAAATTTCACACTGTGCCATTTAAACACTGCCTCTCCATCCTACTGCCACGTACCATATAATTTGCATATTTGTCCCAAATGTAACCTCCTTAAAATCTCTGAGGCTATATAATGTATGTTATCCAACTGATGAGGATATTAACTATACCCAAAAGTCAGTTTGAGGCTATGGGTTTCCAGGTGCAACTCTTCAGCTTCTTCCTTCTCTGGATTTCTGGTGAGAGAAATATTTCCAACTTTCTGAGGCACTTTAGTCCTCTAAATCGCAATATAAATGTTAGGTCTTCATAAGACATTGATTTTTGTCATTTTCTTCAAACATGGTGCTTTTGATTTATTTTTCCTATTTTCTTTCCAAACAGATACCAGGACAGAAACAATAGTTACACAGTCTCTAGCACTTTTGTCAGCGGCTCCGGGAGACAAAGTCACCATCACCTGCAAAGCCAGTCAAGACATTGATGATGACATGAACTGGTATCAACAGAAACCAGGAGAAACTCTCATGCTCATTATTAGAGAAGCTACTACTCGTTTATCTGGGGTTCCATCCCGGTTCACTGGCAGTGGGTATGGAACAGATTTTACCCTGACAATTAATAACATGGAAACTGAAGATGCTGCCTATTATTTTTGTCAACAAGATGATAATCTCCCACTCACAGTGATATACTTTGTTACAAAAACCCCCAAATGCCTTCAATGGTACTATCTCAGCTGCTACTGAAAATGTTCAGTATGTGGAACTGGATGACCCACTGGTATTTATAAAGTTTCTCCATGCACATGTATACCCACTTCCTTTTTCTGTTTCTGTATTTTATGCCTGACATACTTGTTATGATAAGACTATAACAACCTTCAATCACTTTGTCCAGCTTTGCCAATGACCACACTTTGAAGCGGAAATAAATTCACCTGACCACGTCCCTGTCTTTTGCCACATCTATCATGTCCACCTCCAAGAAAAACCAAGAACAATGTTGGATCCAGCTCAGGTTCCAAAACAATGGAATATTACTCAGCCATAAAAAAAAAAAAAGCTGAGGTAACAATCAGACAAAATAAACTTCAAAACAAGGGCTGTAACAAGAGACAAAGAAGGGCATATCATAATGATAAAGGGACAAATTCAGTGAAGGTATAATTCTTGGAAACATCTGCACACTCAATGTAGGAGCCTCTAACTATATAAAGCAAATATTAATAGATATAAAGGAGAGATCAACAGTAATACAGTAACCTGAGGTAACAATCAAACAAAATAGACTTCAAAACAAGAGCTGTAACAAGAGACAAAGAAGGGCATATCATAATGATAAAGGGACAAATTCAGTGAAGGTATAATTCTTGGAAACATCTGCACACTCAATGTAGGAGCCTCTAACTATATAAAGCAAATATTAATAGATATAAAGGAGAGATCAACAGTAATACAGTAACAGTAGGGAACTTTGAAACCCTATTGACATCATCTAGACAAAAACCAACCAGGAAACAATGGCCTTAAATGACACATCAGACCATATGGACTTAATTTATATTTTTAAGTCATTTCACCCCAAAACAGCAGAATATATACTTTTTCAAGTGAACATGGAACATTTTCCAGGATAGACCACATTTTAGCCCACAGAACAAGTCTCAATAAACTTAAGATTTAAATCATATCAAGCATATTCTCTAACCACAATGCTATAAAATTGTAAATCAATCATAAGAAGAAAATTGAAAATCACACAAACACATGGAGGCTAAATATGATGATACTAAACAGTGAATGGGTTAACAATGAGGTCAGGTAGAAATCAAAACATGACTTAAGACAAATAAAAAGAAAAATACAACCACCCAAAATCAATGGGACACAGCCAAAGCAGTTCTAAGAGGGAAATTTATAGCAATACAGGTCTACCTAAAGGAACAAGAAAAATCTCATGTGAACAATCTAACATTACACTTAAAGGAACTAAAAAAGAAGAAGAAACAAAGTCCAAATCGAGTGAAAGAAAATAAATAGGAAAAATCTAAGCAAAAATAAACAAAATTGAGTCTAAAAACAATAGAAAAGATCAATGAAACTGAGAAAAGACATATAAAATTAATAAACCTTTAACCAGACTCATCAAGAAAATAAGAAATAGAGCTCAAATAAATAAAATCAGAAATGAAAGAGAAGTGACAACCTGCACCACAGAAAGACAAAGGATTACAAAAAAAATTCTAGAAACAATTATATGCCAACAAATTAGACAATCTGGAAAAGATGAGTAAATTCCTAGAAGCATACAATCTTCCAAGACTAAATCAAGAAGAAACAGGAAATTTGAATAAACTATAACTACTAACAAAATTGAATTAGTAATCAAAAAATTCCCAACAAAGAAAAGTTCTGGACCAGATGGCTTCACAGGTGAGTTTTACCAAACATTCAACGAATTAGTACCTCTTTCTCCAGCTATTGCAAAAAACTGAAGAGGAGAGAAGGTTCCCAAGCTCATTTTACAAGGCCAGATAAAGGGTATCTGGTTTGATACCCAAACCAGATAAAGATATTACAAAAAATAAAATTATAGGCCAATATCTCTGATGAATCTAGATGCAAAAATCCTAACAAAATATTAGCAAACTGAATTCAGCAATACATTAAAAAGATCACACACCATGATCAAGTGGGATTTATTCCTTTGATGCAAGCTTGGTTCAATATCTGCAAAGCAATTAACGTGATACACCACATAAACGAAAATGAAGAATAAAAATCATATAATCATATATAGGTACAGAAAAAGCATTTGATAAATCCAGCATCCATTTCTGATAAAAACTCTTAGTAAAGTGGGTATAAAGAGAACATACCTCAACATCATAAAGGCCATATATGACAAACCCACAGCTAAAATCATTCTCAATGGTGAAAAACTGAAAACCTTTCCCTTAAGATCAGGAATAAGACAGAGATGTCCACTTTCACTACTTTTGTTTAACATAGTAATAGATGACATAACCACAGCAATGAGACAAGAAAAATAAATAAAAAACATCCAAATTAGAAAGGAAGAAATAAAACTGTCCTTATTTGAAGATGACATAATACTATACAGAGAGAACCCTAAAGACTTGATCAAAAAAACTATTGCAACTAATAAATGAATTTAGGAAAGTAGCAGGGTACAAAATTAATATTCAAAAATAAGTTGAATATTTTTTAATATCTTTATACACAAATAACAAACTATCAGAAAGTGAAATTAAGGAAACAATTTATTTGCAATTGAATCAAAAGAATAAAATAACTAAGAATAAATTTAAACAAGGAGGTAAAAGACCTGTATCCAGAAAACTATAGGACATTGAAGAAGGAAACTGAAAAAGATAGAAATAAATGGAAGACTATACTGTACTCACAGATAGGAAGAATTAACATTATTAAAATGCCCATATTACCCAAAACAATCTATAGATTCAATGCAATCCCTACCAAAATACCAATGGCATTTTTCACAGAACTTGAATACAAAAATTTATATGAAACCAAAAAAGACCCCAAATAGCCATGGTAATCTTGAGAAAGAAGAACAAAGTTGAAGGTATCATACTATCTGATATTAAACTATGTTACAAGGCTATAGTAATCAAAACACATGGTACTGGCATGAAAAAATAGACACATAGATCAATGGAACAGAATAGAGGGCCCAGAAATAAACCCATGCTTATATAGTCATTTAATCTATGATGAAAGAGAAAAGAATATACGATACATTAAAGAAGTCTCATCAATAAATGGTGTTGGGAAAACTGGACAGACAAATGCAAAAGAATGTAATTGAATCACCTTCTTACACCACATATGAGAATAAACAAAATGAATTAAAGACCTAAATGTAAGAACAAAATCCATAAAACTCTTAGAAGAAAATATAGGCAGTAAAGTCTTTGAAATGGCTCTTAATAATATTTTGGGGTGATATGTCTCCTTGGGCAAGAGAAACAAAAGAAAAAATAAGTAACAGTCCATCAAACCAAAAAAGTTTTTCACAGCAAAGGAAACCATCAATAAAACAAAAAGACATCCTACTGAATGAGCATATTTTTACATGTCTATTGGCCATCTGTATGTTCTCTTTGAAGAAATGTCTATTCAAGTGCTCTGTCCATTTTTAAATTAGATTTTTTTTTTTTGGTGTTTGCCATGTCCAGCAAGTGGTAAATCTTGCCACATCCAGTTGATAATATATTCTCAATGAACATTCACTAAAGGTTTACTATTCAAAATATATTAGGAACTCATGTAACTTAACATCTGTGGAGAGTGGGTTGCAAGCTGACAAGGTCCTTGCAATCTGTGAGGTCAACCAAGGGTTGACTCATGTCTAGAACCCTCTTAAGAATGAGGATAATCTATGGAAATGAAAACGATTATAGCAGGTTGTGTAGGGTAGGGATAATCTACGGAAATGCAAATGATTATAGCAGGATGTGTAGGTTGGGTGGAAATAATCAATATCCAGCAAATGTATGCTTTTGTATAAAAACAACTTGCAAAAATAAAATCACTCTCTATGCCAACATCAGTGGATAGTGGGCCTCCTGATCCCAGCTTTCTGTCTTCTTTCTTTTCTCAATCTCCCACCGTTCTCACTCAGGATTATTTTCCAGGGCTGTGCTGGACGTGGCAGTATTTACCACTTGCTGGACACGACAAACACCAAAAAAAAAAAAAAAAAAAAAATCTGATTTAAAAAGGGACAGCGCACCAGAAACAGACATTTCTTCAAAGAGAACATACAGATGGCCAATAGACATGTAAAAATATGCTCAGCATCACTAATCATCAGGGAAATGCATTTCATTTTTATTTTTTTATTTTTATTATTTTTTATGGTGACAATGGTTAATGAAATCCAATAAGTTTAAGCTGTACACTTTAACAATAAGGCATATATACTGTTACGCTGTGTGTTCACCTCCCATAGTTAGATTTCTTTCTGTCACTATGTATTTGATCCCCTTTACCCCGTCTACCTCCCTCCTTCCCTTTCCCCGCTACCCTCTGGTAACCATTAGTCTATTGTCCATGACCATGAGTCTCTGTTTGTCCTGTTCATTTGTTGCTTTTTAGATTTATATCCCACATATATGTGATATCATGTGATTTTCAACTTTTTCTGTCTGACTTGTTTCGCTTAGCATGATTATCTTGAGGTCCATCCATGTCGTTGCAAATGGCAGTATTTCATCTTTTCTTACGGATGAGGGAAATGCATTTTAAAACCACAATGAGATATCACCTCACACCTGTCAGAATGGCTATCATCAATAAATCAACAAACAACAAGTGTTGACAAGAATGTGGAGAAGAGATGCACTATTAGTGGGACTGCAAATTGGTGCAGCCACTATAGAAAACAGTATGACAGTTCCTCAAAAAGTTAAAAATGGTGGACTAGATAAAAGCAGGGTTTGTCTCCTTCCAAGTCCACATTGAAACTACAATCAAATTATAAAATAATCAACGTGGAGAATCACCTTTAGTCCAGCTGATCATAACACCTACGTCTGATAATATAAAGGAGACACATTGAAGCCAATCCAGCATAGGCAACAACCATCTGCGGATTGCTTTGTAGTTCTCACTGGGTAGCCCTGAGCAATCAAAGGCAGTAGCTGACTTTGGTCCCTCCCAATGGGCCACAAAACCAACACATCTGGAGGCTGGCACCA